AGCTGGAGCAGGCCCTGGGGAGCACTGATCCACCTGACTAATCTGAGAGAAACTCAAGACAGATGTGGTTTGGGGATAAAGACGACCCTATGGAACGAAAAAAAAAAAAAAAGAAAGAAAGAAAAGAAAAAGAAAAAAAAACCCTGCTGCACTGTCTTTGGAGTTGGAGAATAGATATGGTTTATAGTAGAGTGTCAGGCGCACACTGTGTGTGATATTGGATAAAAGCAGGCATGCTGACTTGTAGAGAAGCTGTGTACAGAAGTGCTTTTGCTGGCTCCCTTTTTGTGGTTTATGAAACTACCTCTGTTTTTATGTGGGAGGCAGAAGACTATTTTCTGACAGTGCCTTTTAGAGAATCATTTTAAGATAGCTTGAAGGACATGAAACAGATGATGTTAGGTAGCTCCTGATGACCTCTGCTGGCCTGGGCAGATCATCAGAAGTTGGTTTACTTTTTTTCCAAGTTGATTTTATCAAACCTCCAAACATGATTTAGGACTTGATTTTTCTCTTCTTTCTTTTTGAGAGATAGTCTCTTCCACCCAGGCTGGAGTGCAGTGGCACAATCATGGCTCACGGCAGTCTTGAACTCCTGAGCTCGAGGAATCCTCCTGCCTCAGTCTCCTGTGTAGCTGGGACTACAGGTGTGTGCTACTACGCTCAGCTTATTTTTACAAAAAAATTTTGGAGAGACAGGTTCTTACTGTGTTGCCCAAGTAGGTCTCAAACTCTGGGCTTCAAGCAATCCCCCCACCTCGGCCTCTCAAAGTGTTGGGATTACAGACATGAGTCTCTGCACCTGGCCAATATACTATTTTCTATATAGAGTTAATGCATAAGAACGTTCTAAGGTCTTTTGCCATCTTTAACAAAACTTGACTATATTTTGGTTGCCCCTTTATGTCCCATAATTTTCTGTTCTTTCAGCAACTCTGACAATTGTAGTTCCTTTGCCATGGCAAAGTTTCATGTTTAATTTTTTTAAGATAAAAAAACTTGTATTCACAGGTTGGATGGTCAATGTGATTTAGACTTGATGTTATTTTTATTACAGTGGCATAAACACATGCTGTTAATTAAAACAGAAAAATCCAGCATCATAGGTCTTAAATGCTTGGCTTTAACCCATTATAGCCGAAAAAATAGAGTGGGTACAGAACAGATAATTGCATCCCCCTCCCACCTCCACACATACACACAAATTAATCTGCACATTTTGAATATAAGCTATTGTATGGTGTAAATTGTTTTTTCCCTAATTTGAGCCTCAAGGGCTCCTTGGCTATATATATGATCCCCATTACAGGGGGAATTTCAGATTTGTCACACTACTATGTTTCATTCCAATTTCATTTTTAATGCCACTATTCAAAATATATACATTAAAAAATCTGAGGATGTTCAAGTTCCTTATGTAAGTTGGCCTGGTATTTGCATATAACCCATGCATATTCTTTCACATACTTCATATCATCTCTAGATTACTTATAACACATAATACAATGTAAATACTGTGTGAATAGTTGTTATATTATATTGTTTTATTTGTATTATTTTTTATTGTGTTGTTATTGTTTTTAAAATTATTTTCAACTTGAGGTTGGCTGAGTCTGTGGTTGGTTGAATCGGCGGATGTGCAACCTATAGATAGTGGGAGTTGACTGTATGTACTCCTCAAGTTTAAGGAAAAAATAGTGACAGCCTTATAAATACTGCTTTCTGCATTTTCTTCTTAAAGGTGTATCTTTTAAGTCCAAAGAAAAAATTTAGATGCTGCTGACTGTTTACAATTGAATTCAGCTAAATGGTGTTATTCCATAAATTCAGGTATACTTATATGTATCTATTAACTCTGGAAGCACCAATGCATTTATAAATCTTTTGGTTTCACTGTGAACAGAAGAGGCTAAGAAGTCATTTACATTTTATCTTTAGCCTCTCTGTGCCTATGCAGAGGAGAAAGGGGAATAAGTTGAAGATGGTTGAAAGATTGTTTAAGATGGAAGCAGAGAAACTTTTCCAGTTTTTATTGGGGAATCTAAATACTAGATCCAACTCTTGTATTGGTCCTTGCCCAAGATTTCCTGTGTAAGCTCTTCTTTAGAAACAAAAAATTATATAGTACAGTAACTATCACTATATCCAATAAACCTCTCAAGTTATAGCATATAGACAGGTATTACAGTAAAATTACATGTATGTTAAAATATGGCACAAAATATAGATAATAAAATGTATATACATCCCATTTATCTCATATCTTTCCAATCTATTCACCACACTGCAACCAAAATGACCATATCACTCATTTCTTAAAATACTTTAGTGATTAGGAATCATTCTTAGAATAAATATGTAGATCATCACACATGGTCTATAAGGTGCTAATGGTTTGCCCTCTTACTAGCTCTCCAGCCTAATCTAATGCTCTATTCCTGTTTATTTTCTTTGCTCAAGTTTCACTACTTTCAATTTCTGGAACACACCAAACTGCTCCCCACCCCCAATATATATGTATACACACGCACACACGGCCTTTGCCTATAGTGTTTTCTCCTTTGGATAAGCTCCTTGACCACCAACCACCCTCTTGCAACCCTTTCTTCAGTTGTAGTTTCTTTGTCATTGCAATTTAATGTTTTCTGGAAAGCTCCTTCAAACCATGCTCCAACTCTTTGTCTTATTAACTCCTACTTATCCTTCTGTAAATTTGTTGCTTTTTCAGATTACTTTCCCTGAACTTGGGCACCCAAATTTGGTTAAACTCCAACAGAACATTTGTCTTGTTTGTAATTCCTATGTAGTTGTAGTTTACATTTACATGTTTGATTACATGACTAAGATGTCTCTTCAATTTTTTTTTTTTTTTTTTTTTTTTGAGATGGAGTCTCACTCTGTCACCCAGATTGGAGTGCAGTGGCGTGGCCTCAGCTCACTGCAACCTCTGCTTCCCAGGTTCAAGCGATTCTCCTGCCTCAGCCTCCCAAGTAGCTGGGACTACAGGTACCCGCCACTATGCCCAGCTAAATTTTGTATTTTTAGTAGAGATGGGGTTTCACCATATTGGTCAGGCTAGTGTTGAACTCCTGACCTTAGGCGATCCACCCGCCTCGGCCTCCCAAAGTGCTAGGATGACAGACATGAGCCACCATGCCCGGCCTGTCTCTTCAAATTTTCAACTACAAACTGCCTAAGAATAGGGACTGTGTCTGCTTTTACTTGCCACGCTGTCCTTAGTTCTCGATATAGTACCTAACACATAGTTGCAATTCAGAAAATATTTATTGAATTAAAAATTTATTCAATATGTAAATTTAAAAAAATCTCATTCTTGTGTTGTATTTTCTCATTCCTGTATATATTAATGAATACATTAGTAGAACTTTTTGTCCTTTTCAAGAAAGCTTATGGATCTTATGATTCTTTTTGGGAATCTACTTTTGTATTTTGGAAGTTCTAGATCAATAAATTCTTCCTTTTACCAAGATGAAATTCCCATGGCTGAAGTAAAAACCCATTTTCTTTTAATAAATTCCAGGATCTAGAAAGAGTAGCTGGCCACTAGCCTTGATACAGTATTTGTTTCCTTATCAGTGGAATACACTTTCTAACAACTTTATTTTTCCTTTAATTTTGATTTTAGGCCATTGTTCAGCTCAGTAAATCTGAGGATATAAGAGATACTGACAGCTCTTTTTTTTTTTTTTTTTGGACCCAAGTTGATATTAAGAATCCCAAGATAGTCCTAAATGTGGTAGCTTCTCTGTTGACATCAGTTCTACCTTTCAGAAATCATATACTAACAAGTGCTAGCCTGCATCCTCTGAAGTTTCTCTTTCTCCTTTGGGCTACTTTAAAAATAAGGCTGCTCATAATTAAAATATTTTCTCAGATCGTAATGGTGCTTTCTTAGTAGGAATGAGGGAGTTTCATAAGGAGGTTGGAAGTCTCTCCTGCACACACAAAAATTGGCAATCTTTGTCCCCTTTGACAGCTGGTGGCATTTTTCTGAAAAGCTTTCAAATCACAGATCATTTCTTCATAATGAAATCTGTGTGGCTCAGATACAGTGGGTTGAAATTCTTATCTTATGCTGCGGTAAAATGCTCTAATTTAGATTCACAAAAGGATTCTGTACCCTTTACTTAGGAGAGCTGTGCAATTTGCCCATAAAAAGACTGTTCAGCACCATTAGTGCATACCGTAAGTGTTCAGCGACATCATATTCATTAAACAGCATATCCTTATGCATAACCTTTTCAACCTTGAATGTGTTTTTTTCTCTTTGAAAAATGATAAATGACAAAGGGGTGATAGAGCCCCCCCAAGCAACACTGTTGCCTTTACAGATGAACTTGGGAATTTTAGCTTGATCCTTTCTCAGGAAAAAAGAAAAAAAAAAATCACATTCAATTTTGTCTCACCTCAGGCAGTTTTAATTCTCTCTGTAGAATTTTCTCTGTGGCCAGGAGATTGACTCCTAACTTCTAAACTTCAGTGACAGATGTTTATACAATAGAAAATTTTGTGAGGGCAAGGATCAGAAACTTCCTCAAGTAACTTTTATTAAGCATGTACTATGTCTTAGATACTGTTAGTCACTAAGCTTAGAGGTGATTATAGAATATTAATATAATCTATAGTTTCTGATCTTTTGTGTTAAATACCATGGATTTCCTCGCTTGATCAGATAGATTGGGGGCAAAAAGGAGAGAATGGGGATAAGTCTGCTTTTTTTTTTTTAGAGCAAGAGGGAAGAGTGAATGAGAATTTTACTAGTGACAAAACTTTTTTCTTGGCAGGAACAGTGAGGAACCCCAGCATTCATTCCACTGCTATAATTACTCTCTGGTGTTCCTGCACCCTCAGTGGCCTCCAGTCATTGCCGCAGATCTTTAAATGTCTTAGAATAGTCCCTTTCTAAATTCTGCCCTCCTTTCCCTTATTCGTCCAGGTATTTTTCAAGCTTGTGAGATCTCTTCTTGCTTCCATCTTAGGTACACCTGAGAGCCTGGCAGAAAAAGAACGGCAGCTCTCCACCATGATTACCCAGCTGATCAGTTTACGGGAGCAGCTTCTGGCAGCGCATGATGAACAGAAAAAACTGGCAGCCTCACAAATTGAGAAACAACGGCAGCAAATGGACCTTGCTCGCCAGCAGCAAGAACAGGTGAGCCCTGCAAAAGGCGCTGACGCACTGGAGATGTGGAATGTGCCAGGCTCAGACAGTAATCATCACATTGATTGGCTTATTTGTTGTAAGCTTTCCTAAAAAATAAAAATAAAAAATAAGAAAAGATGGAAAAAAAAGCCTTCTGGAAATCTAGGGTCTTCAAGAATATTGAGGGAATATGTGTACAAAAAAAGGCATCATAGCAACTGGGCATAACTAAAATGATACATTGTTTCAGGTTTGGATTTGACTAATGACTTGGGGATGCTTATTCATACAGACATCACATATAATCCCTCTGTAGCTTCACTATGAGTAAGTGACTTTTCTCTGGGCCTTATTTTCCTTATCCAGAAAAAGGGGGTTCTGTTCCAGAAAAACTTTGGGAATCTTTTAGTTCATTGGTCCAATGATTTTCTACAGGTTTAAAGTCCAAAGAGGTGACCATACATTTCAGATTTCCCCAGATAGCCCTGGTATAGTGCCTGTTTTCTAGAGTTAAAATACCCTGTCTCCTTTTACTTGTGAAAGTTTTCTTGGTTTGGATGATACATCACATGGTCACTATCTATAGCATAGGTAAGTCATTGAATGCAAATTAGTACATGGTTCCTAAAAGTATTTGACTTGATTGACTTAGAAGTGAGAATGAAGAAAAAAAAAAGCAAACTTTAAATGTATATCTTTTAAAAATAAATCACTTTCCCAAATGTTTTTTCTTGTCTCTCAAGAGTACATTAATCTAACAATGATCCTATTATAGAGTAGTCCCTGATGCTTTAGATCAGACAGATCCAAATTAATGTGCAGTTTTTAGGAATCTGACATTATTACTGGAATTATCTTTTCAGTTAAATGTATTTTATAGGAGTATATGAGCAATATATGCTCTGTTGATTTTAATGAGTTGTGATGTCTGGTATTTTATATGCTTGAATATTTGCCCACATGTAGGAATATGGACTCAGCCCCTAATGGAAAATAACATAAAGGAACACTGTAAAAAATCAGAAGTTAGAATGTCATTTAGCCATCCAGAGATGACACAGTAATTAACTATTGACACTTGTGAATAAGCTAGCACAAATTAATCTTGACACATTTGCAGACGAGTGATATCTTACAGTGAACACTTTGTAATTATATTTCAAAATGAAAATTAAATGACACTTAAAACTAGGTTGTCATGCTCAATGAAGCGAGCATGTAGCTCAACCGATTGGCAAATAAAATTCAGAATTTGAGCCACATGGTGCTTATGTACCATACTTCACTGTGTCAAACCCATACGTCTAGAGTGGATGATAGTAATTGCACTATGGTGTTTTGGATGCATTTCTATGCAGCACTTTATCATTTAGGAGGGACCATCAATATTAGATGCCTAGTGGCATTTCACTGGTTTGCTAAGAGGAAATAAATATTCAGAGGATCCAGCGTCTATACCTAGAGCTGCAGAGTGAGTTGTACATTTCTGATTTGAATATCCACAAGCAGAGTGGGCCATCCCAACCTGATTAAATATGATTTCCATTTTAAGCATAAAGCTCTGGCAAAGAGTAGTCTCATTTCTCACACTGTAGTCTACATTAGGGACGGCTTTATCATGGCTTCCATTAGGAACCAGTTGTCATCGAAATCATAAAGCAACATTTAGAAGCAGACTGCGACATTGCCATCTTGTGCTGAATGAGATATAATTTGGGCACTACCCCCTGCATAGTCTAGAACATCAAAAAGGCTTGGGAAATGTATAGCTTGGAACTGATTTACACTCATTTTCACTCCCAATATAACCCATTCTAGAATACTGACTTTTGGAAGTAGGAAGAAATAGGAAGAAAAGACACTCTTGACAAAAAGGCAGTACTAAACAAAGTCCTTCGGAGTGCTCTCTGGCTGCTTTTCTCTCCGGCTTCCTAGGTTGGCAGTGAGTGTGTTCTCACTAAGGATCACTCTCTGGACTTCAAGCTGTAGCAGCTCAGCTTTTGAGTGAATAGGGGCCTGATGCCTGACTCATACTTCATAGTAAACACCATTATCTTAAGGAAGCTGTTTGACCTCCTGAGGGCCAGAGACAGTCATCAGTAGGGCTTGCATTAAATGGTTAACATTTCTTTTTATAGACCAGGTAATGTGTTTAGATGTTCAATTTGATTGTTGGATGAAACAAGGAAATATAAAATTTGTATATGGATCCTGTACTGTAAAATAAACACATTGTCCTCAAAAGGATAAATGGATAAATGTTAAATTACAGCTTAATTTGTTTTTAAAAATATTTTGTACATCACAGACAGCATCACCAAAAAAAGCTAAAGACTTTTTCCTTTTTGCTGTGTTCTTTGGCACTCCTTTAAAAATATTTGTAAACATATCAGTTCTGAAAAATCTTTGTATCAGGAAAGGTTTTGCCAACATAGACCATATTAAACAGTAACAGAAAGATTTTTCGTGTCTTTGCTTACAGATTTTACTTTTTACATCCAAATTAAGCCATTTAGAAAAATGTAGCCAGAGATTTTCTATCTCTATTCTACAAGGATTCGATTTCTAAAATCCCATGATTTCCAGCTGACCAGTGCAGATATAGGTGAATAGCTCACAAATGTAATTAAAGGGGTAGTTTTCCTACAGATAAAGCGGAGAGATGGCACTTGTTTAAAAATTTTTCCTTTCATCCATCTTTCTGATTTAGCCTCTTTCATTTTATAGGAACTCTTTCACATAGAGGTGCAGTAAAACATTGTTGTAATGCCAGGAGAAATACCCGAGGTAATGGCAGAGGTGTAAGCATTTCATTTTAACTTAATGAAACTTTATTTCTGATAGATTGCGAGACAACAGCAGCAACTTCTGCAACAGCAGCACAAAATTAATCTCCTGCAGCAACAGATCCAGGTCAGTGTATTTTATTACTCTCATCTGATTATACTTAGATACTTTCCTCCTTGAAAATGGAATTTAAAACTCTGCAGATGTGCCCGTCTTGTAAACAGCACCAATAGGACTGTTTTCGAGGATGTTGTACACAATTCTGTAAGTGAATGTAAGAAATATGGACTAGGTGGTGACCTAAGCATTCTCCTCTGATGTGATATGTAAGCAAAATAACCCTTATCTGTTTTCTTTTTGCCATTTGTCTAACACTACCTAGTGGGAACCTAATGGTTTCCCAGGTAGCATACAGATGGTATTTTTACCTCCGCTGACCACTTTCTGTTTTGTATTTTACCATGTAATAGTACTGTAGAGAGAAGCTTACTTTTAATTTACTTGTTAGGACTAATTGGATCAATTATGAGAAAAATCTGGAAAAAGGCTGTTAATAATTTGTTCCTTAACAAATATTAACTGTATTCCTTCTAGATGCTAAAGGGAATAGAGAGATTAATGAGTGATAGTTTGTCTTCAAGGAGCTTACAGTCTAAAAAGGAAGAAAAACTTGTTCCTGAATAATTACAACACAATGTAGAAAATCCCTTTTTCTTATGGCAATGTAAAAATATATAGATCATAATTATAATGGTCTGGGGAGGAAAGGTGATGGTCTGATTTCTGTCATTCTTTTAGATACTTGATGGTTAACTCAACAAACAGCTATTTGAGATAGGCAAGGAAAACGGTCTCCATTTCCAAATAGGAATATAGGTGTGTGACTTCTAGAAAGCCCTAAAATAAGGAATTGGCTGTCTAGTGATTAATCCTCAGAAATACTGATCACAGTTATCCCTACCCTACTATAGACTCTTGTTTCCCTTGGTTATTGGAGAAACTGCTGGGATCTATGATTCAAACTAACTGGGCCAGAGTATTCTGAATTATATTATTACTTTTCTCGAGGTTAATATCATGCTCTCCTGTATTTCTTTTAAAATATCAGTAGCATGAAGTCATAGTTTACTGCAATATTCTACCTCATTGACGAATAACAATGATTTTACCTTTGATCCTTGCTTCATTTTGTTAATCACACTTAGTGTTCCAGGTAGTTACTACACTTAAAGTACTAATTTGGTATCTGAAGCAGTCCCTTTACCTAATTGGCATTTTGTCTAGTTATTTTCAGTAGGAGGTCCTAGCCAACTTTTTTGTTGGTTTTTGTCCTATTCAATATTCCATATGCAAGTATACATGTTGCAAAATAAAAAAGTCCAGATATAGATGAGTTGGAATGTCTTTGGCATTCTTGACAGTCAACCTTTACAATTAAATCTTGGAATAATTTCTCATTCTGATATCCCTTTTATGACTCATGCTGAGATCCTTAATTAAATAACTGTCCAGGTGTTCCCTTGTTCTGCCCTTATTAGAATTTTCAGTGTAGCTCCTACTGCTCAGGTCAAGATTTTTAGCCTGTAGCTTCCTACATTTTTCTGTAGATCCCTCTGTAAGAACTCAGTAGGTGTTAAACAACATGATTGTTTAGGTCTCTCTGTTTCTCCTGTTTGTAAAGCAAGAATGGAGAAAATTCTCTGAGGTGTTCCTATATCAGTTAATTATTGTTTTTACTACTGCTTTATAACCTACTTGTTTATTCTTTTCTAATATATTTTACTTCTTAGTCCAGTGCTGTTTATAGTGACTGGTTGTCTTCACTGATGTTTTCCTGTGGCACTGAGAACTTCAGGTGAATAGGAACCAAATACGTTCAGAATATTTTTATGAAATATTTTTAGTATATATTGTTTATGTATGATTGTATAGTTATAAACTGACTACATATTTTTCAGAAAACTGTAGAACATGATCTTAAAATATTCATTGGAATGAACATTTGGAAACACCAATTTGAAAAGATAGGAGTAACTTTTTTCAAGTTTTCTAATAGAAGTTTGATTACTTTTAAAATTTGTGGATATTTCTTGTTTAATTTTTTTAATTTCAGCTAATCAGCACTTGAACTTAGCAGTATAAATTGTAAAATAAAGATAGTCAATGTCAGAGTTACATTCACTTTAGAAATATAAGATTCTTTGTAATAAGAATTCAAATTTTTTAAAAAATAAGAGAAAGCAATAAAGCCTGTATTTATAGTTCATTCTATCCAGAGCTATTGCTTCATGGCATATCTTGTCAGTATTTACCTTCTACAAATGAGACCGTTCAAAGCATTTTTCAAATGGTGAAAAAGACATACTCCTTACACAAAATGTATTCATCTCTGACACTTACAAAATGGGTATTTGACATTCAGACTTTCTGTTTTTTTTTTTTTGGAAGGAGAATGGGTTAACTATATTTTCAAATATGGCTTTTGAAATTTGATCAAATTTAGGAGAGAGATTATTGTTGGACTAATTTTAAATGCTTTTTGAGCAAAATATGAGACTGAAGGGATGCTTCAAACATTTTTTTCTATCAAAAAAAGAAACACTTTCCCATTTGAACCCGAAACAGAACAAAGGATAAAACAAGATTATTAAAGATGAATTAAGGATTATTAAAGCTATTAAAAATAAAACCTAACTTCTTGTTCAAAAGCAAATGATGAATACAGAGACAATTTGAGCAAGTTTGACACTTTTTTTCTTTTTATATCTTGAGTCCTAGAACCTATTAGCTTACATGATCAGCAAGATTAAATCATGGCAATTGGCTATGGTTCATGAGTATGAGGTGGTTGCATTCAATATCATTCCTCTTGTTCAGAATGCTGACTTCTGAAATAGTACTGTTCCCCCCCCCCCACCACACACACAATTTGCAAGCTTTAATAGAAGCAAAGGGAAGAGTGCCTAACCTCTTGTAACAATCCACACAGACACATTTGGGTCTATTATAATGGAAACAAATGAAAACCTGAATGGTTTCCACAAATTGAAAAATAGGAATTTTCATTAGAAATAGGAAAAGGCATGATTAAGATAGTATTGTAAAAGTTCCCATGTTTATTTTATTTGCAATTATTCAGGACTTATATATGCAGTTAAGAACAATTTTATTTATATTTGTTCCTTGAATATATTTTTTAACATTATTTTGCCTTTGTAAATTCTAACTTTTAAATAGATTCTTCTAAAGCCATGTAAGCCATGTTGAAAAAGTGTGGTGAATGATTTTGTGAACTGTTTTTACAGTTTTGATGAGTCCATTTTTATAGTTTAATAAATCAGGATAATAATTATAAATGACTATTAAAATATCACTTTAATATTAGGTCTTTTCAGAGAATGTTTGCTTTGTAAATTCAGATCCCTCTGTGCTTTGGGGAAAATGATGATTTCTCTCATTTTTTACACGTTAAGTAATTCTCCTGATATGGAGCCCAGAAAAAAAAAATAGGTATTTTTGATATTTCCAGGACAGAAATAGCATATTTTTTCCAAGTCTATGGAAAGCAAAACTAATAGGTCATGGAATATGGATCTTTGGAGTTGGGAATGTTGATTTATAGGCTGTAATTTCAAAGGAAAGATAACTGCTTCAGTAATTTCATCCTCCCTCTCCCACTCATTGAACTGTAGTATCTTAGCTAATATTTTGAAGCATTTTACTTCTGAGTTATGCTAACTGGTAAACAGAATTCACTTTTAATTAATTTGACAGTTGTAAACAGATCAAAGCGTGTTTACAGTATTTTAATCAATGACTAAATATAAGACAATTCTAGGGAAAACAGAAAATATTTTATAAATCCTCATTTCTTGATTTTTTTCATATATTTATTCATCTAACCTCATTTGACCATGCCATGGTTTTGAATCTGGAGAAGATATTTTTTTATGGATCCAATATACCACATTCTTTGGTTTCTACAGCACATCAATTGGAACACGTTTAACGATGGAGTTTTGTAGCTAGAACTTTGCAAAAGAATTCAGTTCATTAAAATACCTTTGTGAGAAACTTCCTTTTCCAGGGATGAACAGTATTATCCAATTATTCATGTCTCTTCAGACTCCAGTTTTAGAGTTATTCAAGTGACTTGTATTGTGAGCTATATAGGCAATGTCCTCTCCTCACATAGCTAACTAAACAATGATCTCTTAAGAATGAACTGGCTGGGTGGGGTTTTATTTAGGCATTTGGCTTTCTGGGCAAGGGCCAATGATTTAGTCAATTCATACACATATGTCTTTTTTGGGTATAATTGTGAGACTTGAAATTTTTAGTTTGTGTTGTCTTTATGATTAATGTTCAATATTCATTGCCTTCCCCTCATCATTTAACATATGCAAACTTTATTTGTAGAAGGACTGAACTAAATGTCATTGCTGCATCTTTGCAAACATTGTTTGTCTTATCTGAAAACTTTTTATTTTAAATGTTGAAATACATATTGTTTATTTTCTTTTACCCAAACCAAGTGTTCATTGCTTCACTGAAGTTCTACTCTGTTCTTAAGCCTATATGATTATCTTTCATATACAGTGTTTTTAATTTTGATTATAATATATTCCTATGTGCTATTTATATATTTTATGTATCTGTATGTTTGCCACATAATGGTGGTAGAGCATCATTAGATGTGTGTTATCCTTTTTTCCTTTTTGGTAACCAGAAAGATGCTAATATTATAAGCAAGGAAGTGATTGTCCTTAAGCAATTAAACAGAATAACTTGAGATGTCCTCTCACCTTTTAAGGAGATAGACCTTGCCTTTTGTTTCCTTCAATATGATTAACTACAGGCATTTCAGGTATCTGCTGAGCAGAATAAAGGACTACCTTTTTATGTGAAGTAGTTGTGTAAAGATCAGAAATAATTGCTTTGTACATTAGCCTTCATGGCCTGCTTGACCTAGTTAATTAATTTTTTGCTAGCATAATAATAATAGATATATATTTGAAGATATGCTTCATCGTTAAGTATCTAATTGACCTCTAATTTTAAGAGCTGCACCTTCCATTTATTGTCTTTTGGAGATGGCTGGAGCAGCCAGCAGGAAAACCGAGGAC